TGTTAAATATCAAAGTAATAATAATATAAAAATAAAAATCTAATTTGAATAAGACAATGCAACACTAATCACATCCAAATTTTTAAAGCAACCAAACATTACTATATAGTCAATAACAAGTACTTCTAGAGTTATATTACTAAAAATGACACAATCAAGTTACTAATAATCACTTGTCCAATCAAATTAATAAGAAAAAACAATCCAAATCAAAATTCACTACTAATGTGTTCATTAATGTCTTTATCTGATTCATCAACATCATCTTCACTTGAATTATCAGTTTCATTATTGGCTTGAGTACACACCTAGTATTATTCTGAGCAAAGTCCAATATTTGATGGGTGAACGAATTTAACTTTTCTCCGAGTGCAGAATTTGATTTCACACCCGCATCAATCTCATGCCCGTCATTTGAATCTTGAGAATCAAGAACAACAGAGTCTGCAATCTCCTCAAGTGCTATCTTGTTTAGAATGTTAGACTCCTCAATTTTCTCCAGAGGCTGGTCTTCAAGAATGCCTGAATCCAATCTGTCCCAAGGTATACTAGCAGTTTTTGAATATGAAAGTTCATCAACAAATTCCACAAAATTCATAGAGAATCCCTGTTGTGTTGTTTCTGGATCTCTATGATCTTTACCTATACATGATGTGGATGGAAAATCCGATGCCAAAGTGCCTACTTGAGAATTTGTTCTCACTATTGATATAGCATTTTCATCACCAAAAACTTCAGTTTCCTGCATCAAAGGATACGTCAAGTTCTAAGGATGGTCGACACAAAAATGTGTGTAGCTTCATGGTAGATTAAATGTCAAGTAGAATGCCTAAAAACCCGTTCCAACAAAGATGGAATATACTACAGATAAATAGCTATGAAATAATTACAGTAATCAATCAAAGCAATGACTAAAATACCTCTATTGGTGACATGAATCCTCTTTGATGAGACACTGACATCTGCCGACAATCGAAATGTGGAGATATAGCTGGTAGTTGCAAATCCTTAAAAATAATTTCAGGTTCCCTCACCCATGATGCAGCTCTTACGGGTGAAACAATTGGGAACTGAATATCAGTCTCAGTAGAGCCATTAGAAGGATTCCCATCCCACATAATAGGATAACAGCTTGCTCCAGATGGACATGCTTCTGCTCTGGACTCAATAATGTCAGACACTGAAGACAAAGAACCTTTGCCATGGCAATCAACAGGGGGGCTTGCAAAGAACTATTTTTAAATATATCATAAATAAATTTTTGTATATGAGATCTTTTCAGAGAAGCCTCAAGCGAAGGGAACCAGTTACTAGTCAACTAACACTACAACATTTTTACTCTATAGCAACGCCTAATTTTTAGGAAGTAAAAAAAATGTTCTCGTAGAGAGTAATAGGTAACTAACTATATCATTTGTTGCGGTAGCATATTTAATTTTTTGTAAATTTTATACAACGTCCCGAAACCGTTCTGGTAGAGGACAATGAGAACGGCTCCTATTAGCAACGACTAGAGCCGTTCTTATATAATTTTTAATTATTTTAATAAAATATTATTTACTTTCTCATATGTGTATACTTTTCATTCTCCCTCCCAAACCTGTTTTCAGTTCCCTCCCAAATTGATTCTTCGTACGAGCTTCTCTCAAATGATTCATCGTACGATTCATTGTCCCTCCCAAATACGAGCTTCATCGTACGATTCATTGTCCCTCCTAAATACGAGCTTCATCGTACGATTCTCTCAAACGTACGAGCTTCTCCTTAACCCTAACATTCATCCCAAATTGATTCTTCATCGTAGGAGCTTCTCCCAAACCCTAACATTTTGTTCTTCATCCCATATTGATTCTTCATGGTACGATTCTCTCAAACCCTAACATTCATCCCAAACTTGTGTGTGTGTAAATGTTCTCCTTCAACTTTCTCTATTTTATGCCGACAAATCTAACGGTTTTGTTTTCATAGGTCTCAATTTTCAAACGTAATAGTGCGCGAGTTTTCAACGGTGTGCGAGTTTTCGGTTCATCTTGTTAAAAAGGTAATATTTTATTCTAAACATAACTCAAAATTGTTTCTTAGAAATTTTTAAGCCTGGTGATTAGTATAATAGTCATACTAAAATATTTATAAAGTTTTTAAAAATTTTACTATCAAGTTTAAACATGATTCTGTGAACTTTAGGACTAAATGTATGTTTACAAGTTTAAACAGAACTCAAGAAGTGTTTTCAGGATCGACCGTTAAGAAGGGTGAGATCGAAGCGATTGTGTATGCAACTGGTGTACACACGTTTTTCGGTAAAGCGGCTCATTTGGTTGATAGTACTAACCAAGTCGGGCATTTTCAGCAAGTGCTTACCGCTATCGGAAATTTCTGCATTTGTTCAATTGCTGTTGGAATAGTCGTTGAACTCATTGTGATGTATCTGATTCAGCATCGTAAGTATAGAGACGAAATTGATAATCTTTTGGTGCTTTTGATCGGAGGAATCCCGATTGCAATGCCAACTGTTTTGTCTGTTACTATGGCTATTGGTTCTCATAAGCTTTCACAGCAAGGTGCAATTACAAAGAGAATGACTGCTATTGAAGAAATGGCAGGCACAAATGTTCTTTGCAGTGATAAAACTGGAACTCTCACTTTGAATAAACTTAGTATTGATAGAAACTTGATTGAAGTGTTTTCTAGGGGAATGGATAAGGATTTGGTGATACTCTTAGCAGCAAGAGCTTCTAGGATAGAAAATCAAGATGCTATAGATGCTGCTATTGTTGTAATGTTGTCTGATCCACAAGAGGTAAATATCTAAAATCAAAATCTAAATAAATCCCTTTTTTAGAGTAAATCAACATTTTAGTCATAGAAATTGTAATGGTTGTGATTGATTATTCAGTTCAGGCTAGAGCTGGTATCAATGAGGTCCATTTTCTGCCATTCAATCCCGTTGATAAGAGGATTGCCCTTACCTATGTTAATACCGAAGGAAATTGGTGTAGAGCAAGCAAGGGGGCTCTTGAGCAGGTAAATACGAGTTTCGTTTTATGATGTTTCATTTTATTTTTGTAAGTAGGAATTGAATTCGGTATCTTAGGATTTACAACATTCGCGCAACCTGATCATCATCAACCTGCACTAGGCCTTAGTGGTATCTTTGTTATGATTTATAAGATGAAGACTAACCAAGTCATGTTTTTATATTGTGTTAGATATTGGATCTTTGCAACTGCAAAGAAAACGTGAGGTGAAGCGTTCATGCAATGATAGACAAGTTTGCCGAGCGTGGACTTCGATCATTAGGTGTTGCTTATCAGGTAAGTAAAGACGGCGCCATTATCATATATATTTTTCTACTTGAATTAATTCTCTTGTTTTATCATTGTTTGTATCATATGATTTGTGCAACAGGAAGTACCTGAAAAAACAAAAGAGAGTCCTGGTGCACCATGGCAATTTGTTGGTTTGTTGCCACTGTTTGATCCTCCTAGACATGATAGTGCTGACACAATTCGACAGGCTCTTAATCTTGGTGTGAATGTTAATATGATCATAGGTAAGATTCAAGGACATACTTTCTTGTTTTCGTAGTTCTAAATTCTGATATGTAGCTGCAACTACGGCTACAATATAAAGGTTTTGAGGTCTCCACAACCCCAATTGCAGAAGCATTTCACAGAGTAGCCGTAAATGTGACATGACTTACAATTTAGAATCATATGTAGCTCATACCATAAATCAATGTTTGTAGCTTTAAATTAATTGCAGATTATGTTTTTCTCTAGGGGACCAACTTGCTATTAGAAAGGAAACTGGTAGAAGGCTTGGAATGGGAACAAACATGTATCCATCATCTGCATTGCTTGGTCATGACAAAGATGCTTCTACTTCAGATATTCCTATTGACGAGTTGATTGAAAAGGCCGATGGATTTGTAGGAGTATTTCCAGGTATGTCCTTGTTTACATTGATTTTTGGTTTTGTCAAAAGTTTTGACTGTCGAATTGCTTCATCCTTTTGATAGATTCTCTGTAAAAATAAGAAAGTTAACCTTAAAAGTCATTTACATATTTATCATGATATGATATGTTAGAACACAAATATGAAATCGTCAAGAGGCTGCAAGATAGAAAGCATATATGCAGAATGACAGGAGATGGCGTAAATGATGCTCCTGCGTTAAAGAGAGTCGATATCGGAATTGCTGTCGCTGATGCTACAGATGCCGCTAGAAGTGCTTCTGATATTGTCCTTATTGAACCTGGTTTGAGTGTCATTATCAGTGTTGTGCTCACCAGCAGGGCCATTTTCCAGAGAATGAAAAATTATACTGTTAGTTTCCTTTGCATATCTAATTCTTGTGCTACAGAATACCTGAGTAACATTTTTAGTTTTCTAATCGCAAAAAGTTTGATTATGGAACAGATTTATGTTGTGTCAATCACCATCTGTATTGTGGTATGTGTTGAATTTTGCGACTTTTTTCTATGTACTTACCCTTTAAATCATAAATATACTTAATAACCGTTGATTTTTCATTTTGACAGTTCGGTTTCATGTTGATTGCTTTGATTTGGAAATTTGATTTTGCACCTTTCATGGTTTTGATCATTGCAATATTGAATGATGGTAAGAATAAGATAGCATTTTCATTACTTCAGGTTAGTTCTACATTTTCTAACAATAGTAAAAATCTTAACACTGGCTTATATTAAGGTACCATCATGACAATTTCAAAAGATAGAGTGAAACCAGCTCCACTGTCTGACAGTTGGAATGAATTTTGTTATTTTTGTTTCTATTTGTCATTTTTGTTATTTTTGTAATTTTGAGCTTGTTTTGTCAATGGGGAGGAATGAATTTTCATAGTGGCAGGGGTAATTCTCATCAAGCTTATGGTTTAAATACTCGCTCCGCTCTAGCAACCTGCCTACTTATTAGTAAACTACGAGCCATACCCGAGAAACAAAAGTACAATTCTAGCTAAGCATTTACGGTAAGGCCTATAGTTGAAGATGTTTACTTGTGTCATTCCCTTTGTTGGACTTCTGTCTTACAAGTCTCTGTTCCTCCTTCAAATCTCCTCCGATTTCCATTTCACTTTCTTCTTCTTCTGATATAATTTCTTGTTTCTTTACAATAGCTAGTGAATCAAACAAAAAACAAAGCAAATCAAAAGCTTTTCTTGACACTTAAGTAATATATACTTAACATTTTGTAGAGAACGCGGGCTCTTACGGTTAAGGTACATATGTGAAAGGGTGAACAGAACATTATATAAAATAGTGAAACCAATAAGAACTCCAACTCCTATCCAGTACCAATTTTCATTACTATAAAAATAAAAGATATTCAATGTGGCTACACCCAATGATGTTGATCCATTTGAAGACTGCAAAACATGAAAACTTTGAGTCAGAACTATAATTTTGGATTAAATATGTTTTTAGTTCTTTTGAATATGATAGTACTCACCGGTTTGCTCCACCATGGAGCGAATATTTCATTAACCGATAAAGCATTGAAAGCATATGACAATGGAGAAAGCCAATAGCCCCAGACCCACCAATTTGGAATGTCACCTGTTAACACATTAAGGCTTAACCATATTAATGACCATAACAAATTACATAGGATTAGTGCCTTAATTAGAGTTTGATTAATGATTAGTGACTCACGTTTAGGAAGAATGAAACCTCCAAGTAAGAAAACAAGAAGAAGCATGAGAGATCCACCAGTGTTGGCTATGATCATTGTTCTATAAACTCCTGATATTACCCTAAACAACCCAGCTGCCATTTGTTGAATAAGAAACACCACCAACAAATGCTTGAAGAACCTACAATGTTTTGTTAGTGTTACAAATACATCACTTAATACTAATATCATCTATCTAATCTTTGCTATACAAAACGCTTATAAAGTTTACTTTAGCTCTAAAAAATTTGTTACAGACAAAATATTCATTTATATAGTATCAGAGTGGCATTGCTGACACGATTATGTGAGATTCAACACTTATGGTCATGTTATATAGTATCAGAGTGGCGTACTGACACTAACCATCTCCACTTCAGGTTTGTTTCTATTTGTCATTTTTGTTATTTTTGTAATTTTGAGCTTGTTTTGTCAATGGGGAGGAATGAATTTTCATAGTGGCAAGGGTAATTCTCATCTGGTTAGTGTCTTGGGTGGAGTGGATTATTTTATTATACAAACGTTTGTTGATGATAGGTTGTACTTGTAATGATTTTATATTAGGATGAGATTTATATGTAATAATATGTTTGTTATTTTGGTTACTTGATATGTTTTAGTTACTTGGTATTAATATGGTATTTGATGGAACACTATGGTGTCATTTTATTCATTTAGACGACCCTACTTAGTGGGATAAGACTTTGTTGTCATTGTGAATGATGTACATATTTTTTAGCTCTTGGTTTAGGTGAGATAGTAAGTTAATCTCAAATGTTCTGCAACTTTATACTTTTCTATTGATATGATGTAGTTGGTGGGCTTTTCTATTTTAACACTGTAATTTTAGATCCTTCGAATAATAATCTTATTTAAGTTATATTATTTTTATTTTGCAGGTCATGAATGATAATATCAATGAAGATTTTGAATCATTTGAAGATGAAGAAATGTAGATGTAGAGATGTAGATGTTTAAGTTTAATTTTATAGATTAAAGATGTTATTTTGACTATGAATGATGATTGACATTGGGATATGTAATTTGAAGATGTTTTGTTAACATTACGATATGCAATTTGAAGATGTTTTGTTGATTGTGAATCAATGATTGACATTATGATATTTAAATAGATTATGTCATGTATTTTTTTTTTAAATGCAAGATCATTTAAAAATTTGTATTTGAATATTATTATATAAAAAAATTGTGAATGATGTTATTATCATGTTTATAAAATAAAATAAAATAACATTTTATTAAAAAAAAATTTATTTGGTTTATAAAATAAAATAAATTTTTTTGCAACAGTTATAAAGTGTGTCTGTAGTAAAGAAAGAATTGCTATAACCTATGAAGAAAAAATGAACTTTACCCTCTATTAGAACGGTTTAGAATAGGCTACGGCTAAGACGCGTTTCTATATTCCATAAAATAGTCGTTTTCTAATAAACAACAATTGCAACGGTTTACATTTGAAAACGGAGTCCACCCATTGCTGTTCTAGACCGTTCTCTATATAAAATTACATCAACGGCTCTGAACAAGGCGTTGCCGTTGGCTAAATAACCGTTCCCAAAGGCTAAAACAACGCCTTGGTTTAGAATGTCCTGAAAACCGTTCTCATATGTAAAGGCAACGACTTTTTTGGATTTTGCAACGGTTTTTTTTGTGTTGCTGTATATTCAAAATGTTGTAGTGTAAATGAAAAAAAAATTCAAATGTGAGTCAACTGAAAGCCAGTTTATTCATAAGTATGATTGAGCAGTAGCACCAGACACAATCTGATGCGACAACTTTGAGTAAAAAATATAATACGACAGTGTATGCAACATTTTAAGCATACAAGTGCCTTACAACCGTCAGGAGAAGGGGCGTGAGGGAAAATAATAAAGTATCACAATAAAAGTATAACTCATGCATTTATGTAATAAATTCTGCACCAAGGAACAATTATACATTATTTCTTACAATCCATGTATATTATGCGATTAAACGGCTTATCTAGTAAAATACTTAAACAATGTTTGTGACCAACATATTCAGAAAATGCTATTTCAGTTGCAGTTTACTTCCTAAATCCATGAAAAAATAGAGGATCATAGCAGCAAAAATATTTTCATGGTTGTCCTAAAATTCTCATTTCACATATCGCTTAATGGAATTGGATTAGAAAATCATGAATGGTAGATACCAATAACAATAGTGATGCTTGAAATATAAAATTAAAATGAAGAGTCAACATCATATCATTGAAATTTCAAAATGAGACTATATCACATAGATTCAAGTTTTAGTCCAATACAAAGTCACTCACAAAATTGGAGTACTTCGTTATATTGAAAGGGTTAAATTTGAGAGGAGCTTCCTCCAGAAAACATTCCATGTAGTGAAGCAAAAATAGACCACAATCATACAAGTCCCCTTGCTGAGGAAGCTGGAAAAAAATGGAAGGACAAACAAAAGTCAATAAAAAGTTGAACTGAATTTGTTAGATTCATATGGAGAGAGGCTACCTCTAGTGAGATGAACCGCAACTATAAAAACTTAGAAGAAACGTCATCCACCATATTGGGGTGTCTCTCTTTCTATTCTTCACACAGATAGCTGTCATTATACAATATATGGAAGAAAGCAGTGTCAGACTTTGCGATGACAGAAAACAAACGAAATTCACTCAAACAAGCATTTACTTTGTTAGTTTTATTTTTACTATATTGGGTTAATACAATTTTCTGCAGTGGCTCAATGAAATAACTCAGCCAAAAAAGCCTTGTAAACCATCCAGACTCATGGTTCTTCAGACAAAATTTTAATACAAGCTAACATCAATTATGAAACTTCCAATGTCAATTAGGAAAGTCCGCAGGTAATCTGTGTATTTCTAGGAGTGTAGTTATTATTTTTGTTTTGACAATATTTATAAAAAAAGAATTGAATCAATAGTAAAATTGTTCCCGCTTATAAAAATATTTAAATCAAAATATTATTTTTATTGTGACAATATAAAAATATTTTAATCAATAGTAAATGTATTCCCATTTATAAGAATAATATTTTCTCCCCTATATAAACATATTTTAATCAACAATGTATTTTTTTTCCGGTATATAAATATTTGTTTTGTTTTGACACTATTTATAAAAAAAAAATTGAATGAATAGTAAGGTTGTTTCCGTATATAAAAAAAATTGATCAAAAGTAAATTTGTGTCCGTCTATAACAATAGTATATTTTTCGTATATAAAAAAATTTAAATTAAAAATAAAGTTGTGCCCGTTTATAACAATAGTATTTTTTTCATATATAAAAAATTTTGAATTGACAATGTATTTTTTTCTGTATATAAATATTGTTTATGTTTTGGCATTATTTATAAAAATATTTGAATGAATAGTATAGTTGTTCATGTTATCATTCAATATTTTGATCAATAACTTAATTTTCCCCATTTCATATAATTTCTATAGTAGGAAAAAATAAAATTTATTAAAGTTTTAAATAAATATTATTTTTCTAATTAGCTATACAAATAATTGAAAAATATGTATATATACCACACAAATATTTGAAGATATTAATTATTGAATTTGAATTGAAATACACTGACAGTATAAAGAAGTTTTACACTTGTAAATGATTATGATGCACTGTAGATAACATAGTTGTTATTTAAGTTAAATGGAGTAGCGAATTAATATGTATACTTTTTTCATTTGAAAAGCGATAAGTTATGCCTACAAGTGTAACCATACGGAGCATAAAGTTGGACCATGATTCCAAACAATAAACATGTTTGTTATTAGATTGTGAGACATATGTAACTTGTGTTATAGCAAACATGTCAGTTAAACAATTGTGAAATAGAATGATAATGCAAGAGTTGTTTGAGTTAGGCATATGGAAACCAGAGTTTTGGAATATTCTGCAAGTATTTCCATGTCACGTTTTGGAATGTTAAGTTATACAAAGTACTAAGATTGAAACTAAATGATGTTGATTCGTTTTTGCAGTTTGCATAACTGATGCAATAATAGTGTGGAAACAACATTATAAATCATGTTTCATGGAATTTGCATAACTGAGGCATATGGAAACTAAATTATACATATAAATAGAATCATCATAAATTTTAAGTGAATAACAGGTTTCATAGAAATCATGTTGACCATAGAAATCATTGTATGTGCGCGATTTTCCTTCTTTCGAATGAGGTCGCCCTTTTATAGGCGAACTTTTAATTTATCCCAAGAGAGGGAAGGGGAAAAATTCTAAATAAACTCGTGAGTGTGTGCAATGCAAGGCAATGCACTAAGAGATTTGGAAATCAGGATTGGTTATACTAAGGGAAGATATTAGCACCCTAAGTATCTGTGGTATCCTATAGGAACCTCTTGCTTATATTTGTGTTTACTGTAACACCCCACTCTAAACTATCGCGGAAAAATAAGAGAAACAACAAAAAACAGTTTTAGAGTGCAGCAAATAAAGTTTCATGACGACCATCATGGATGTCACGACCGTCACGGTCATGACGAGCGTCAAGGAGCTGTGACGACCGTTACACTCCCAAATTCTTAGACGCATCAGAGGTGTCACATTCTACACTTAACCAAAACACATACACCTGCAAAAGATCATTTACTAACATACATAGCACAAAATTCGGATGAACCAATAACGATAATTTGTTTAACATTTTAATCATAAAACAACATGTTATAATACACTTCCAACGATTCGTAATAATTAAATTCCATTAAAATTCAGCAAGTAATTATCTTGCATCAATTTACTAAAACAACTATGCATCCAAACACCATTTGGCATTATCAGAAACAACCAATCTATTTGCCATAGTACTTAATAAAATTCAGTAACAAGGAATTCAATTAAAACAATAACATTAATCATTCATCCCCCCAGAGTGTTGCGTATCAGAGTGACCAACGACCTTAAACATAAAGCAACACTTTCTTCCGAGTTACATGCAAATTACCACCAACGGAGGTAACATACAACGTAAAGGGTGAGATATCAACAACATAACATAAGGCATGATAAAAGTCATGTCAGAATATTATCACATCATTATAATTCCAATAGTTTGCAAAATATTATCAATAATTAAACCGCAACAATTCGGTATTCATATCCACAACCATTATCATTAAAATTCAGCAACTCATCAA